AATAGAAAATCAGGGTTGTTTTAGTAATCTTACTTTAGTTTTAGGAAAGGCCGTGAATGAACACAATAAATACATCAATGAACACATCCATGCTGTATTTCTGAAATCAAGCGTTTTCCTTGTCATTGTTTCCTTTGCTGTCTCTCTCACAGTCTTGGGAGAAAGTGAAGGTCATGGTTCAACCCGCATTTGATCACTGCATGAAACTAAGGATCTGAGAGGGCAAAGGCTCACTTGAGAAATCTGCACTGGTGCAAGGCAAAGGTCTTCTCATGTTTTGTTATGTGTTTGTTCCCCGCTGGTTCAAATGGGCTTGTTAACCAGAGGGAAAAGTACCAAACAAGTTCTTTTCATGGCCACCGGGGGACTTTGGACTGTTACATTCCTACTCGGAGCTTTGACACACAGTGAGGGACTGGACCACCAGCCTGGGGCACAGCCAGCCCAACTGTCTAGATATGCACACATCTGCATCCGAGGGGCTCCTTCAGGATATCATGCCTGAATCACAAGTGACCTGAGTGATTATGAAAAGAATACGTTCTCTTCACTGTAGTGCTGCCTCTTTGGGACAGTAACTCACACTAACCTATCCATCCACGTTTCCACTAGGGCTGGCATACGCTAGCAAGGCAATAAACATTCATTGAGCTGCATCCACCAATGGCAAGAAATACATTCTTTATGGAGAATTGGGGTATGTTTGTACATGTTAGCCTCACAAGTCTTTAATTACAAAATTAAAATTAAGTGATTTTATCTTATGGTGACATATAAAATAAAAATCTGGAAAACCCAAAGCCATAAATGCTCTGGCTCCTCCAGATCAACACCGTTTTGTCTATCATGAACTCATTGTCTGTAGGCTAACCTTTGTGTGTAGCAAGATTGAGAGGAGTGACTTTGCTTGCCTGATAGAACATTTCTGAAAAATGTATAATTGTTATTTCCCACACAAGTTAAGTCATCAAAAATGCAAACTCTTTTTGAGAACTTATCATGTCCTAGGTTGCTAGGTGCTTTCATGTATATTGTTTCATTTAATCCATATAACAATCCTAAAAAAATCATGTGGGTTTAATATTTTCGTTGATAAAACTGAAGCTGGGAAAGCTTTAGTAAATGTTTCAATTTTTTTTTTCTCCAAAGCCTATACCATTTTAATTCTAGGGCAAAATAGCAGGGCATATATGCTACCATTTAATGTAACAACATTTAAGAAAGATTTATATTTGTTTTTTATTAATACTGAGAGAAAAGGTGGGGTATTCCCTTTCAAATAAGTATTCTGGGAGGTTGTGTTTATATTTATGTACACATACCTTTCTTTACTGGAGAAAAGTGAATCTCTTGATCAGCTCCTCCTTTGTTATTCTCGTGTTTGACGACACACAGGTGCTCTTTATCCAGTGATGTTTCAGGCACGGTTAGCCAGCTAAGTTTCATATATGTATCATTAATCTTCATGGTATCTCCCTGCTGGGATTCCAGGATCTTATCGCTGTTCTTTTCTTTCCAATACACCTTGATAACATCAGGGAAAAAATTCTCAAGAAGACAAAGATGTGTTCCAGCCTTATGGAGATTTGTCTCAGCAACTGAAGGAAAAAAAATAGTGGGCTTCGGGGAAACGTCTGCATCAAGGTTTTTATCTGTGAGGGGGAAATGGAATAACAATTAAAAAGAATTATTAGAGAAACACACACATTGCTTTGTTTGGAACAACCTTGTGCCTAACAACAGGAAGAAAACTTGCCATCGAATTAGCGCCTGCCATGTCCTTTTATCTACAATAGATTGCAAAGATATCATTGTGTTTATTTTACAGATGTGAAAATAGGAACAAGAAATTAAGTATCTTGTCAAAAGTCATAGCCCTCAAGTGTCAGATCCTGGATTCAAGCCTGGCCTTTGTTCATTCTGCACATGCTGTGATGGAGTATGATTTTTAACTGCCTCATACCAAGGCTTCCAACATCCATGAACACGCTTACTTTTTTAAATCTCTTTTGTTTCATCACAGTGGAGCGTGCTTTCAAGGTGGATGGCAGGGGAAGAGGGGAGGAGACCAGGTAACTAATGATCTCTCTACAGATGAGAATCTGGTCCCATCTAAAGCCCTTTCTTTCCCATCCTTTGTAACTTACGTTCTCTTTAACCAAGAACACACATTCTCATGTTCTGCAGTTCTGTGTAACCCCACCCTTCATTTAACTGATTCTGAAATGCAACATATTTATTTCCCATATGAATTAATGTTAGAAGGAAGTTTTCCATTTTTATTTTTAACAATACGTAGTCACTTGTTTTAATGGGAATCTACTTCCATGTGCATTTACAATCTATCAGGTTGACTGTTTAGCTTCACATGTGTATCCCATAACCAGTTCTGCAGTCCATGGAGTTCTCTTAGTTAATTCCTAACTCAATATAACATTTCACTTTCACATCTGCATCCCTCCAGATGGATGGAGCAGTATTTAAAGCTGCACCTTGAAATTATTCATGATGTCTTGAATTTAGAAGCAAAATAACAATATTTCTGAAACTTCTATTAACAATTTTATTTTTTATTTTCATAATTGCTCTTGTGTTAATCTTATCCAATAATGCATTTACTAAACACTTTTTTTTTTTTGCTTCAGAAAATTTCACCGAAAGCACATTTTATTTTAGAATTTTATTTGAAGTTTAAGCATGACAAAGAATACACCAGGGGTGTATTTTTCATACTTG